AGAGAAGCCACCACATGATCCAGAGGAGGGAGAAGGTGGCAAAAGCCAGTTCCTGGAATTGTATCCTTTATGACGTTTGTGACAGCCGCTGAGGGATAGTCTGGAGGTGGCCTGAGATGGCCAGGGAGAAGGTTGGGGGACCAACATGGAGACGTCTTGAGGAAGCAGTGATGGAGAAATGGGGGAATCAAGGGCCCTGGAGGAAGCAGTCTATGTGGAGAGCACCCAGGGACAAGACCAAGTCACCTTAACAGTATCCCCACCAGTGACCTCAAGGTGCCTTTCCAGTCCTTCATGGATGCAGAGATCGCACGCTTGTACTTGACCCAGGAGGAGAAGTCCCTGGAAGGAGCAGTTCACAGGGAGCTCAGAGTGACTGGCAATGAGACCTCATTATGTAAGTTCCAGAGTGGGAGGTGCCCGCATGGGGGCAGTAGGCAGCCTTTCCTGTCTCTGCCCGAGGAGCCTACCCCACTGTACATTGGCAGACACCTTACGAGTCACCATATGTGAGCCAGGCCTGTAGGAGCCTGGCAGGGAGACTGAGGGAGTCCTGGAAGGATTGTGTCCAGCATCTCCAGGGGAGGCATGGAGGAGGAGTGGGCCAAAGGGAGCATTCAATGCCTTTTCCTCTCCCCTCACTTTTAGTCGAGTAACTTCTGGAAACTCCAGCCTCCTCCACAGTTCTGTCTCCTCCCTGCTCAGCCAGCTTCCCAGTGTGGCGACTGACCTGCGGTTCTTTGTGCCTGAATTCTTCAACCCTCACCAGGGTTAGAGAGAGGGCTTGGGCTCTCAGCTTGCATCTTCCTGCCCTAGACATTGCACCCTTCCCTAGGGCAAAGACTCTCACAGTCCTTGCTTTAGTGGGGAGGGGAGGGTGGTGGTGGTAATTGTTTCTCTATACCTACCCTCCGATGGCTAAATGTTTGCCAGCATTGAAAATAGAATAAAATTGAGAGACTGGTCTGTGTCTGTGTCTCTGTCCAGCTATCGCTACTCCAGATTGCCTCATCTTCAGCTCTGCATTGCAGGAGAGCCTCTGGGATTCAGACGCTCAAGTAGTGCAAGGTGATTGCAGGTAGATTCGGAAATGTATTATCAGTTGGGTCCTGTCATTCACTGTTAGTCACCACAAGCACTTTAAAATACTTTTGAACTGTTGAAGTCCAAGACACTCTTGATAGGTGTAGAAATGTCATGGGTAGAAAAGGTGACTGTGCCAGTTTAAAATCTGTTTCCTTCTGGAAATATTTATATGTGACATAAGAGCTTGGCTTGCTCTCTTTCTAAAGCATGTCCAGAAACATAAATTGAATAAGGGCACTACATCCCACTATGATGGTGCCTGCCTGAAACCCTGGTACCTGGGAGTCTGAGCAGGAAGACTGAGAGTTCAAGACAGACATTGTCCAGGTTTGACTTTTTTTTTTGTCAGCCTTGCACCTGCTAGAGTTCTCTAGATTCTCAATTGAGAAAAAACAAACAAAACAAAACAAACAAAAAACTCCCCCACTAGGTTGCCTGTAGTCAAATCTGTAGGGCATTTTCTTGATTAATTATTTGTGTAGGAGGGCCCAGCACACGGTGCCCCCAGGTGCCACTCCCTGGGCAGGTGGTCCTGAGTTGTTTAAGAAAGCAAGCTGAGCAAGCCACAGGGAGCTAGCCAGTAAGCAGAGTTCCTCCACGGCCTCTGCTTCAGTTCCTGCCTCTAGAATGCTGCCTTGAGTTCCTGCCCTGACTTCCCTCATGATGAACTATAGAGTATAAACTGGAATGGACTCACTCCTCCAAAGTTGCTTTTGGTTATGGTGGTTTTATCACAGCACTCAAAACTCTAAGACAGACCCTGACTCCTTAATAAAACTTCTTTACATTACACTTGATGAGCATGTCGTGCCTGCCCACCCCCCTTCCGCGTGCCCCTGCTTCTGCTATCTTGGATGAGGGCTCATAAGCATTTCTGTATCTTTCCCAGGTAGAGTTCCTTGCTTTTCATGGATTCCACAGCACACACATACCTTTTCATTGTTTTATTACAAGAGATTTATTTTCACTGTAAGTACGGGGGGGGGGGGGGGGGCGGGGACATGTGCTCATCAGTACATATGACCCTAGGAGCCAGAGGTATCAGACCCCCTGGAGACTATATTCATGAGACCCAATCCCAGAGTGGGTTTTGGGAAATGAACTCTGATCCTCTGGATGCGCAGTAATTACTCTTCAGTGCTAGTTATCTCTCCAGACACAATTATTTTATGTTTGGTGGTTGGTTAGTTGGTTTGTTTTGTTTTTACTTAGTCACAAAGAAATGGGTTTCAGTGCGGGGTTTTCCTACATATTTCAGTGCGGGGGGTCTTGAAGCTCTTCTCCTGCACTCTTCCATCAACCCAATATCCTCCCCTGCTGGGCCCTGTTGAAGGAGGCTGCTTGTTCTTCCCGGCCACCCAGAACCAAAATAATCACACAGAAACTGTACTAATTAAGTCACTGCTTGGCCCATAGCTCTAGTGTCTTATTGGCTAACTCTTACATATTAATTTAACCCATTTCTAATAGTCTGGTATCACCACGAGGCTGTGGCTTACCAGTTAAAGTTCCGGCGTCTGGTCTCCGGCAGGGCTACATGAATCCTTTCTTGATTCTGCCCTTCTTTCTCCCAGCATACAGCCTAGCTTTCTCTACCTAGTTCTGTTCTTCCCTGCCATAGGCTGAAAGCAGTTCTTTATTCATTAATCAATAAAAGCAACACATAGACAGAAAGACCTCCCACACCAGGCCCCTGCCTCCTCATTCTACCCCACTTTTGTTTTCAAGTCATGTGTATTTTGTTACTCTCTATTTTTCATTTTTATTTTTTTTACTTTATATGTATAGATGTTGTGCCTGCATGTATTCATGTGCCCCTTGTGTATGCCCGAGGATCAGTGTGGAGCCAGCCACTATTTAGCCATAGAGGCCCAGAAGTGGTGGCACACACCTTTAGTCCCAGTACTCAGGAGGCAGAGCGAGACCCCATGACTGTAAGTTGAAGGCCACCCTGGGCTAAATGAAATTGATTCAGTCTCCGAGACACAGAACCAGGTAGTGATGGCTCACACCTTTAATTCTAGTACTTGGGGATCACAGGCCATCAACCCCAGTAGCACTAGGGAAATGGTGACAGGAAGGGATGTGGCTGGGCTGAGAGGGGAATTCAAGGTGGGAGGAGAGAGGAGGGCATGGCATTCAGCCTGAGACTTAAAGAGACAGGATACCCCATTCTGTGTGAGGATTTTGTATGGGGTAAGCACTAGTGGCTGGCGGCTCTGTTTCTCTGATCTTTCAGATTTCACCCCCTAATGCCTGACTCTGGGATTTTTAGTACTAACGTCAATTGGAAATCGCACTACATCTGGTGCCCATCCTCCTGGAGGAAGAAACTGTCAGTAGACCCCTGGAGACACCCAGCGTTGAAGAGATGGTTGTGAGAATCTGGGCAGCTGCAGCCTTTGAGACTGAGTCCTGGCAGCTGCCGAGGGACAGAGCACTGCCTCTCCCAGAGGGCCCAGCTAGAGACCTGCAAGCCCAGCACATGAGAAAACTACCAGAGACCAGGAATGGGTCACCCCACACAATCCTCACAAGATCACAGGTAACTGCCCAGCCCAATCGAACCAGAAGCCTGTGACCGTGCCTGTCCACCTGCATAGAAAACCTCATCATTCAGGAGGCAGTAGGCAGGGCTCTCAGAGAGACCTGACCACCACCCAACACATACCAGGGATAGACTGGGAACATCGAAGACAGAGTGAAGAAAGAAAACAATCAAGAAACAGTGTCAGATCAGAAAGAAATAAAATTGCCTTTAATACACATATGTATACATACATATATATACAAACATACATACGCACATACATATATATAAACAGTCACAAGAACTAATGAGTGAGTTTAGCGAGATTCTCGCATGCAGGCTGTTCGTACACAGCTGGCCACTACTTAACAAGCACAACCATTTGTCTCGATGTCACCCTACACTAATCTGAAAGAAGGCCTGGGAGCCTCAAATATCCTGCTCTGGTGTTTCTTTCTTGTCCTCTCAAACTAAATCAGTTTTTCACTTCTGTATGGAAACGACCAACCCAGTGGTCATGAAAGAGAGTCTGAAGACTGAGATTTGGTGAGTGTAAGGCCCATATTAGAAAATGGTCGAGTAGTATACGTGGAGAAATTTAATACGTGACTGTATAAATGTTTAATTCAGGAAATCTGCCTCTTCTAATATACCTCAAGGAAGTAAGTTTTCATGAACTAAATTATTTATTATATAGGAAAAAGTGGATAAGCCTAAACATTTACTATCTGTAGATAGGATGTTTTTAACATAAATTTTTCCTGAAAAGTGTGAGGAAATGGAAAAGCTAGTATTCCATAAGAGAAATATTCCAGGAAAAATATTAAAGAATAAACATAAAAATGTCTTTATTGCCTTTATATACTTAGTTCTATAGAACACACGCACCTTTTTTTTTAAATAGTACTTTGGGATTGAACTCAGGGACTCTGGCATGCTAGCAAAGCTCTTTATCATATTCTAACAGAAAAAAAATCTTACTTCAAAGATAACCATATTGTGTGCTGAATAAGTAACTGACTTTAAATAATGTAATTTTCTGTCCATTTACTAAAATATCTTTCCCTGCTTTGGACTGTGAGAAATTTTAAATTTCAGAACTTTCCTTCCAACCAAAGTACACAGATGAGAAAACTGGAGGCTTCTGCCATAGCCAAAAGTAATGTCAGACCAAAGCCTAACCAAAAACATCTAAACCACAATATGTTAGTTTTATTTTGTTCAGCAACAAACATTTAAGCACCCTTTCCTTAAGCAAAAGGAAAACAAGCCAAGCATGGGACTGATAAAGGGGAAAATGCATCAAAACTTTGAAATTTGAAGGCAAGGTATCAATTACCAAAAACACAAAATGCCTTTGTCCTGTCTTTTAGGGGGAGAAAGTTTAGGTGTGATGAATCCTTCCTCTTCCTCGTTTGACAACAGCCACAAACTGGAAGTGCCGAATACTTCTCATCACCACGGAGAGCTGGTCAAGGAAACTATTGATGGAAATCTGGAAGAGACTGGTGTCGTCAGTTGTCCACCTACTAGATGTGAGAGAAAGAAACACCATCAGGGAAATGAGGGATCTGTTCAGGTCCCTCACACCCTGCCTTCCCACTTACATCTAACCCACCAGTGTCTCTCCATTAGGACACCCCTAGAGCGCACACTGCCTCCCAACCCCGAAGCCACCCCTACTCCAGGCTTTGGGAAAACTGACACAACCAAGGTACTGTCATTCACAGTGTACTCCTGTGGAACCATCAGTAGCTGGCGCTGGGCATTGGCGACCAGGGACCTGCGGGCCATGCCTGCCTCTACTGCAGACCTGAAAGGCACTCTTACAGTGCTGGAAGGGGGCTGTGGTTAAGTTGTCATCCACTATTAGGTTTCCTATTGCTGTGTGATCTGGTATACTTCTGAGGCTTGTCTGACACTGCTCCCACGTGCAACCCAAGACCAAGACTGCCCCAGAATCTTCCTTCTGACGATGCTAAACAAGCATCATCCACCTCCCGCCTCCCCAACGGTTCAGGTTTTCTTCTACATTATGAAGTCTTCTCTGGATTAGACAACACCCTGCCCTGCCAGCATAATGTTTCTTCTTGGACTAACTGTCCAGAGTGTACCAGTCTGTCTCTTCCTTCCCCTGCTGTCAACCTTCCTGCTCACCCACCCGAAAGACTTCGTTTCACGTTTCATCCTTCCTATCTTCCCATAGCCCCTGCCAAGGGTCTCCCAGGAAAGGATACAACTCCAGGAGTCGACTTGCAGTTGTTGCAACATCTCCACTGGGTCCAGGGAGAAGTGTTGGTAGCTCATCTTGGGGAACGACAGCTGCCTCTTCGGCTGCCCCACCTAACCCTACAGGGCTCCCTGGGCGGGACCTGCCTAGAAGAGACTGGCTACTGGCATCTTGTGGTCCACTCTCACGAGGGACCTCGTCTTGGTCACCCTCTGCCACCGAACTCTGAGAACTAGCCTGGAAATCGGAAGCTCGGGGTCTCTGCTGCCCATCCTCGCCTTCTTCAACCCCTGTTCTACCACCTGTGGCCTCGCCAGGATCCTGCATGGCGATTCTGACGTTCCACTCAGCTCCCCTGGCTCAATCAACGGCACCACTCATGCTCAGCTACGGAGATGAAGTGACAGTTATGAGCCCCACCGAGCACACCACGTGAGGCCCACTGTGCTTGCACAATCGAGTTCTCGCGAGATGAGCTACTGCCTACCTCTTGGTGGGTGTGTCTGGCGGGGGGGGGGGGGGTGGCGGGACACCAACAACTCAGCTATAACCAAGTTCTCACGAGGGTTGGCTCCTGCTGAACTACTTCCTGTCTTTTGGTAGATGTTGGGGGGAGTGGGGGGGGGAAGACACCAATAGCTCCTGCTCCCTGCGAGCAAGTTCTTGCTAGGGGTGGCTCCTGCTGTGCTACTTCCTGTGTTTTGGTAGATGTGTGCGGGGGTGGGGGGGTCTGGGGAGGGTGGGGAGGATGGGGGGTGGGGGGAGGTGGGAGAACACACCAATAGCTCCTGCTCCCTGCAAGCAAGTTCTCCCTAGGGTTGGCTTCTGCTGAGCTTCTTCCTGTCTTTTGGTAGATGTTGGGGGGGGGCACCAATATCTCCTGCTCCCTGCAAGCAAGTTCTTGCTAGGGTTGGCTCCTGCTGAGATACTGCCTGGCTCTTGGCGGGTGTGTCTGCTTCCTCCCCCCCCCCACACACACACAGGCAGAATTCCTGCTTCCTAACTGGGCTTGTTGGACTCTAGCATCCAAACACCGAGAAGGAGTCGCCCCCAGAGACCATCTCATACACCACAGCCGATGCAAAAGCATCAGGATTTTATTAATTCTGTCATGACAGGGTCCCCCAGCATTCGGGAAGCCGAGGGACCTCGAATAGCGGGTACAGTCTACTTTTATTTATTTATTTATTTATTTATTTACTTATTGAGAAAAGGAGAAAGAAAAAAAAACAAGTTTCCACCTCCTCCCAGCCTCCCATTTCCCTCCCCCTCCTCCCACCCTTCTCCCCCTCCTCCCACCCTTCTCCCCCTCCCCCCACTCCTCTCCCCATCCCTCTCCAGTCCAAAGAGCAGTCAGGGTTCCCTGCCCTGTGGTAAGTCCTAGGTCCTCCCCTCTCCATCCATTTCTAGGAAGGTGAACATCCAAACTGGCTAGGCTCCCACAAAGCCAGCACATTACGTAGGTTCAAAACCCCGTGCCATTGTCCTTGGCTTCTCAGCAGCCCTCATTGTTCGCCATGCTCAGAGAGTCCAGTTTTATCCCATGCTCTTTCAGTCACAGTCCAGCTGGCCTTGGTGAGCTCCCAATAGATCAGCTCCACTGTCTCAGTGGGTGGGTGCACCCCTCGTGGTCCCGACTTCTTTGCTCATGTTCTCCCTCCTTCTGCTCCTCATTGGGACCTTGGGAGCTCAGTCCAGTGCTCCAGTGTGTGTCTCTGTCTCTATCTCCATCCATCACCAGATGAAGGTTCTATGATGATATGCAAGATATTCGTCAGTATTGCTATAGGATAGGGTCATGTCAGGTTCCCTATCCTCAGCTGCCCAAGGAACTAACTGGGGACCTTGGCTTGGGCATCTGGGAGCCACTCTGGGTTCAAGTCTCTTGCCAACTCTAAGGTGGCTCCCTTAACTAAGAATTGTGCTTCCGTGCTCTCCTATACAGTCTACTTTAAAAGGGGCCACAGAAGCAAGGGGGGGGGGTTGTTCTTTGACTATTCTGATTGGCTTATTTGAAAGGGCTATTACCGATAATTGACTGGAGAGCTGTTGCCAGATCAGATGAGGTAAGAGGTCATTTTGACCCCGTTTCCCAGGGGACCGAACCAAAGCCTACGTATATGGGTAATTGTTCAGGAACTGAATACATGCGAGTGTAGCTGTTAGGTCCTTGGTTCCCAGGGGAGGAGGGGAAGCACTATGGCACAGAGGCTGAGAGGATTCAGAATTGTCAAAAATGGCTTCAGGATTGTCTTAAAGTCTTACATTCCCTCCTCTTATTCCCTCCTCTTATTTGGTCGAATATCTCAATCTTGAGATATTAGTAAATTTGGAGGACCATTTGGATCTGTACCCAGAGATTAACAAACCAGTGCTGTTTCCTTATAATAGGGAGGTCCTGCTGACAAGCATAGCCAACAAGACTGTGTCAAGCTGGGGTCAGTACTATTTAGCAAAGAAAAGGCTCCCACTATCAGATTAAACAGTCACTGGCCTGTATTAGAGCTTGCCAGCAGTGAAGCAGGAGTTGTAGAAGGGCTTTTAGGACTAGGAGTGGAGCCCAGGGCCCTGGAAAGGGGGGCTACTTCAGCAGGGGCTAGCTGGCCCTGGTCAGGTAATACCAAGTTGGGCCCTAGTACTATGGTTGGAGGTGTTACAACAACTTACAGGGTGAACAGAATTTCTATGTCTTTTTACATTTTTAGGCAGCACAATAAAATATTTTAGCCCCCCCCCATACTGCAGAGTTTGCTCCCCCCCCGGACAAATATATCATTTAGAATATTTGCATACATGATAAAAGTTTCTGGGGGTTTGCTCAGTATCCTCCCAAGAGGCTTTTGCTAAAACACACAGGTCAAAAGTTAGCTGGGGGAACCAGGTATTCAGGGGATGAACTTCAGTGGCTAGACTTAAGGCTTGCTCAGTCTCAAAGTTAGTCAGGGTCCAGCTTAAGTCCTGAGGTATAAACATCAGGGCAAAGATCAGCAAGCCTGGCAGAATCAGGCCTCCTTGAGAGGATTTTGGGTACGCTGAAACTTTTATTTGGAAGGTCCCGGGTCGTCCTGTGGAGGTGCAGGCTTGGCATGAGATGCATGGATCCAGGCTGCAATATTGTCCACTTTGAGGGCTGTAGGTATAGGGTCCCTTCCAGCGAAGTTTAAGATTCTGGGACCGGTGTCTCCGAACGTACACAGAATCGCCAACCTGGAATGGGTGTGAGATTTCTGGGTGCCCGGGCTGGTGTTGGGAGGTGCCAGCAGAGAAGCAGAGAATAGCTTAGTCCAGCGGGCAGCAGCAGGGATAGCTAGGGCCCTTTTAGGGAGGGTCTAGTCTGGCCTGCAGTAGCAGGCTCTGGTCAGATAAATACTATTTTATGTCCCAAGTCCTTCCCAACACCCATGGAGACAGTCCCGCTTCTTGCCCCTGGGAGACAAGTTGGGGAGATGTCTGAACCCCCGTGTCCAAAGATTTCCTCCAGGGGAAAATCTTTTGCCAGCCTCCAGGGGCAGCTGTGGGTTGTTTTTTTTTTTTGTTTTTTTTTTTTTTTATCTCAGATATCCCAGGAGGCTAGCTCTGCCACTAGTTGACAGAAATCAGGGGTAAGGGCAGGGGTATCAAAGCAAGGGCTTGAGGAGGCGTGGATTGCAGGTATGAGCGGGCAGCTGCTGTTCTCATGTCCCTCCGGATATACCCCAGGTGTATGCCTGGGTTCGGAGATCTGGAGAGCCTTCAACCGCGCCTGCAGATGGGGTCTGTGAGCAAATGGGTCATGAGGGGCCTTAAGAAACTAAGAGGGGGTTCCCCCATATTGGATCTCATAGGGGGGTTAGTCCAAGCTGAGACGGGGTGTTTTGTACACAGAACAGGGCTAGGGGAAGGAGCTGTACCCAGTCTCTAGTGCCAGATTCCAAAGGCTAATTTGGTAAGGGTCTTTATTTATCCTGAACTCTGGGGTCTGTACTATTGCTCTTACCTTAGCCAAATTAGCAAATTAGTGGGGTGTTTTGCAACCCCCCTCCTTTTTTTTTTAGACCCGCCAACTGGACTTTGGCAATAAAGACTGAGCTGCTCCCTACCAGCTGGAGTATTGAAGTCCCACCCTCTATCTTGTCCGGTGATTGGGTTGGCCTGCTGTCAGCTCCTGGGACATTCTTTTTTCCTCTGTGGTTATGAGCACCTGTAAGAGCTGCTGGCATTCATCCCAAGTAGGCTGATGAATAACCAGAACAGATTCTATAAGCCCGGTCACGGCCTGAGGGTCCCGAGAAAAGGAAGGGTTGTAAGTAAAGATTAGAAGCAGAAAAAGGCAGTATTGTAATTGGCCTGCTACTGAGCGAAGGGGAAATGCTTGGGAAGTCATTCTCACCCTTCCCCTGTCCCAGCGTAGATGCTGAGTACTGAAGTTTTCGGGGCTAAGGCCCGACCAACGGGACTCCTCAGGAACGAAGTGCTTCCTCCGGGGGGGGGGGGGGGGGGGAGGGAGAAGTCTGTCATGCTTGCCTGGATATCAGGAAGAACCAGAGGTGCCTGGATTCTGGGTTTCTTTTGCTCCAGTACAGGAAAGAGAGAAGACAAAGGGCTTGGGGAGGGGCAACCATCACCTCTTCCAGCAGTGGGGCTGCTTTCGGAATCAGGGAAACTGATGATGGCCAGGGGGCCCGGTGCCAGGTTCTGAATTCCTGCAGGTGGATTTTTAACAAAGACAAACCGACATACAAAAAAAAAAATACAAAGAGACAGACATAAACTCAAAACCAGAAGCCGGTGCTCTCACCACCACTCTGGTGTAGAACTGAAAATACAAAAGAACAAAAAGACAGACATAGACTCAAAATCAGAAGCCGCGTGGCAACAAACTGATACGAATCTGGAAGGGAGTGGGCGATAAGGGCCACACTCCCTAGAAACTAAGATGACCTGGTCGCTCCTAGTTTCACAAATTGCCAATGAAGTGTCCTCCACGGCTGGGCCAGGGAGTGTTCCCGGACACGTCTGTCCCACTGTCTGGTCCCCTTCAAATACTAGCCCTGCGCAGGTACAATATTTCTTCAAATTGACTGATTCACAATTACACAGAAACAGAAACACAATACACAAACACACAGACATAAAAATGAGCTCATTTCTTTATACCTCCAACTGGGTCTAGAGTGTGTCTGGGAGCGACTCGATTCCCGGTCAGGGAACCAAATGTTGCACTCTAGCGTCCAAACACCGAGAAGGAGTCACCACCAGAGACCATCTCATACACCATAGCCGATGCAAAAGCATGAGGATTTTATTAATTCTGTCATTACAGGGTCCCCCAGCATTCGGGAAGCCGA